CCATAATATGAATATTGTTCTGTTGGGATTGGTCACACAGTTGTCTTAATATTCTTTCATTCCTAGAGATCCTTTTATCTCTTTCTGCCTCAGTGTCTCTCTATTCCTGTTCTCTGATTTCTATTCCATTAACAGTCTCTTGCACTTCATCCAATCTGCTTTTAAATCCTTCCATTGTTTGTTTCATTTCTGTTATCTCCTTCCTGAATTCAACCCTTAGCTCTCAAATATTTCTCTGCATCTCCATCAGCATGCTTATGACTTTTATTTTGAATTATTTTTCAGGACGATTGGTGATTTCAGTCTCACCAAGCCCTCTCTCTGGTGTTTGAGGGATTCTGGACTGAACAACATTCTTTTGCCTTTTCATGGCGATGAGAGTGGTTGCCCGCAAGTGGTGCATGTGTCAACTGGGAGAACAACGTCCCTTCCTGCTTGCCGGTCACCTTGCCTGTCTCTGCTATCTGTACCAGTCAAATGCACATGGGAGCAGCCTCTGGGTTAATCCCCTAAGCTGCCATGGGTGGGGTAGCCTTCGAGATGGCCTAGGGCAATGGCAGGGGCCACAGGCCTGTAGCACATGTTCTGCTGCAAGAGCAAAGCCTCTTTGTGCTTCCTGGTCTCTGTGCCCATCTCCTCTTTCTGTGCTGGTCAACTGCGAACAGGGAGCAGCCTCTGGATTAATCCCCTTAGCTGCCATGGATGGGATGGTCTGCAGGATGTCCAAGGGCACTGGCGGGGGTCGCAGGTGAGCAGTGTGTGTTCTGCTGTGAGAACAAAGACCCTTTGTGCCTCCTGGACTCTGTGCTGGTCAATGCTGCCCATGCCACTCAATCGCGCACAGGGAGCAGAGTCTGTTTGGGCTGGTTAGCCTCATGCAGGGAGAAGCCTCTGTGCTAAGCTGTGTGGTTGCTTTGGGTGGGGCTGCTCCCCTGCTGGTCTGCAGCAATGGGGGGAAGGGGGACAGCCAGTTTGCTTGCAGTGCCGGCAGAGGGGGGATGAACGGCAGGCTGCTTATTGCTGTGAAGGGGTTTGGAGCTGCTTTGCCTTCCAGGGGATTAGGGTGCCTGAAGTTCCTTAAAGTTCCCAGCCTGCTGAGCTGAGTGTGCCAGGATGATTTTGTCCATCTGTTAAACTCTTGTCCCTTTAAGACTTTTAAAACGTCCATTTTTCTTTTGTCTCAGGGCAGCCTGCTGTGGGAACCTGTTAGCAGTCTCAATCTCAGACCTTGCTTTTCCGCTCCTCCAATATCCAGTGCACCATGCAATGTGTGTCTGTGCTCCAGAGGCAGACCACCAAGGATGGTTATTTAGCAGTCCTGTGCTCCCACTCCCTCCCCACTCTGATTCCCTTTCTCCCTCCTGTTAGCTGGGGTTGGGGGAGTGCTCAGGTCCCACCAGGTCATGGCTTTGTATCCTACCCTTCTCTGTGGGATGTTGGGCTCTCACAGATGTAGCCTGGCTCATGTACTGTATCTTCCAGTCACTCTTTTAGGAATAGTTATATTCACTGTATTTTCAAAATATATATGATTTTGGGAGATTTCCACCACCCTACTCATGCCACCATCTTGAGAATCTTGCTACTATCATTTTTTATAGTGAAAACTTGATCAGCTAACTTGCAATAGTAAACATATTTTAGAACACCTATAAATTAGATTAGTCAGCCACAAATAATGTTGCAAAAGAATATTTAATGGCATAGAAACTTGTCCATGAATATTATTAAGCAAAAAAAAAAAGCAGATTTTTGAAACAATATACAAAAAAATAATCTAATTTCACAAAAATATGCACCAGTAAAATCTGGAAAGGTCAACAACTGTTATTTCTTAGTAATTTTTTATGTTTTCTTTTCAAAGTTTTTTCTAATAAATATGTATTATTTTTATCATCAGAAAAGTTACTTAAATAACACAATATAGTCATAACCACTAAAACAGTGATTTAGATTTTTCAATCAGTGGACAAGTATTTATTGAGTTCTAAGTACTAAGGCTAGACTAAAGAATTGGGTAAACTTACATTAAAAACTAAGGATAACTCCAAACATAGTGAATCTGTTTCAACCATGACACTGACCTCATTATTCACACCCTCATACTGATATTTTTTTTTAGTCCCTTTTCCTATAATAAAAAGAGGTTGGGATTTTTTTCTTTTTTTGTTTTTTAACCTTTCTTCCTCATCTGAATTGTAGACACATCCTGTACCATTTCTGAACATGTGAGCAGGCCATAGTATGAACATAAAAAGAAAAATTGAGATGAATCTTTGGGAATTAAGGAAAACTCATTGAGATTTTACATACTAATTAAAACCCACACCTTGGTGACCTCTCTTGCTGGTTTTTAGAGAAGAGAGGAATGGGCGTGGACAGTGAGGGATTACCCAAGTAGGTAGAGTCAGAATTTGCTGAAGACACCTGCATAACCAACACACTGAAAATAAATTTTTGGAAAGAATGGGATGTTTTAAAAATGGAGGTAGCTATCAAGGAAAAAATCTGAATATTTTTTTAACATCCTTAGATGTACTTTACTATTAAATATTTACTTATAATTATGTCTAGTGGGTAGGTGAATGGCAAAAAATATTGTCTGAATCAGAGTAGTAATAGGATGATAAGGAAAAACCCCAGAAGGTACACAGGATTAATATTTGTAGTATTTCTTGCATCCTGGGAAACCTCATTTAGTATTTCTTGCACCCTGGGAAACCGCATTTCATTTAACAGCTTGAACATTTTATCATATTGCCAAAAACAAAAGCAAAACAATAACGAAAAATAATTCCTTAGAATTACTTGAATGGGTATGTAGTAATATTACTTTGAATGCACATACATTTTACCCATTTAGGAACTTTAAAAAATTTTGAGACACTAAATAATTATGTCTTTAACTGTATTTCATTACATGCCAATTAAACTTCATCTGTACTTCATGTTATATTCTTATTAAATTACAAGTCTAATTATCACTTCGTTGTCCATAAAGGCTCTTAAGGGTCTTAATTCTTTTGGACAAATTGGTTTAGATAATGTATCATTTTATACAGCCAGCAGTTGTGAATCAGAGTTCATTTGTAATAACTCTGGCTAGCCTGGGATAGTCTTTCTCCTTTAACTTTTAGAAATGAGATATATATGATCGATCCTTTATATTTAATTTAGATGTATTTCAGGGGGCGTTATTCAGCCTATCATATATTGGTTTTAGCCCCAAAGCTGCATTCTTAAATTTACTTTCATAGAGCAATGTGGGTTCTCAGTTATATCAGACAGAATTGTTTTCCACAATACACATGTCAGGCCCTGGTCCTCATGGTAACTAATAAAACAATTTGATCCTGGATGTAAACCAATACACAAAAAACCTTTGTAGGTTTTCGTGAATTTCAGGTGTCTGGGGTGCTACCCATCAAATCATTTAAAATCACTATGTATCTGTCTGTCTGGAAAAAGTTGATAAATAATACTAGAGGAAGCAGTCACACCACCACCATGCAACCCAGAGTCAAAGAGGGTGGAACTGCGTCAGCATTTACCAAATTTTATCACCATTTTCAGGAGGTTTTGCATGTGTGTGTGTCCATTATTAAAGATAATATTTTGTGTTTTATCAGCCACCAACCGTTTCTCATCACTAGCAAGACCTCTCTGTGGCACAGTGCTATCCTTTGGGCCTCCACACCATTGAACTTCTTTCTGATAGAGCTACCAAGAATCATCCCAGCCCCTCTACGCTCATTGTGATTTCTTTTAGTTTAAAGTGTTTATTTTTCCAGAACGAGCAGTCACTAAATAAGGTAGTAATTATCAGTTGACACGTAGTTTAGTTTTTTTTTAACAAGTTTCACAATTACAAACAATGCTAGAGTAAACCACCTTGTACTCATCATTTCATATGCTTGATTTCAGAATAAATGCCTAGAAGTGGGATTTTTACAAAAGGATTTGCATATGTTTTATAATTCCTGTCTAAGGCTTATCTTTGACATGTAATTTAAAATGCTCTTCTATAAGGGTGTACAAATTATATCCTGTCATGAAGGACTGCCAGGCATGCTACTCGAGAGGTCATAGGACAGAAAAGCTCACAAACCAAAATAAGATGTTCAAAGTTCATTTATCAAAAAAGTAGGGTAACACATAATAGAAGGACCATACTACCTACCACCTGAGTTATTGTTTGTTCATATGTCTAGTTTCTCCTTTCTGCCACACAAGTCTTTTCCACTGCTGGTAGAGTTTTGAGGACCAGAGTTGAACTTTGAGCAGATGCCTGGAGCTAATATGGACTTGCTTTGTCAGAGATACAGGGGCAAGGACGCCTGCCACTTGGCCTGCTAGGATGGAGCACAAGTGGGACAGAACGGAACCATAATGGGTGTCCTCAGTGGGTTACCAATATGGGATGACAGCTGTCAGCCAAGAGTTGGCACCATTTCTATGTGTACTTGAACCCCATCCCCTTCTAATTATGATTAATACCTTTGTTCCATCATATATCTTATTTATTGTATTATCTTTAATATGTCTTACAGGTACTAACTTACTTTATATTTAGCATATCTAATGAATTCTATGTCTCATGAACATCTTGTTTATTCATTATGCATATTAACACTTCTTAGGAGTCTTGTCCATATTTCACCAGCTACTATAAGTGATATACATATTCTTGAGTTATACACTGCAAGCTATTCTATTAGTTGTTATCCACTGGTAGGGATCAGGACACACTACCCCAAAATATGGCACCTTGACCTGAAGAATATCATAGGCTAAAGGAATTTGAGAAGAAGACAGAAGCAGGAAGGTCACTCTGGCCTTCCCCCACACTTCTCCCCTAAGATAAGTCATACAACCCCTATATGAGAGGTGCCCTCCCTATACCCAAAGGAAGGAGCATCCTTATCTCCAAAGACAAAGGGATGCCAAGAAGAACTGTAACGAAGAGACCATGCTACATTTCTCCCAGTTTATGTACTTACCTCCTATTCCTTAACTTCTCATGTTTCTACGTGACTGCCATCAACCTTTGCATAAAAATACTCAGATCTGAAAAAAAAACAACCTCAGCTCTAACTGTTTCTATGGGTCTTCATATCCTTATGAAGACTCCTTTGTCCCATGTCATTTTTTTAACATTAAATAAATTTGCATGCTTTCTCCTGTTAATCTGTCTTTGTCAGTTTAATTTTCAGATCCAGCCAGGACCCCGAAAAGGGGGGTGATGGAACTTTTTCCTCCCTTATACTGTGGTCAACACTGCTTGCCAGTTTTATCCATCCCATTTGTTTTCATTTTGTTCTATAACACAAGGTAATAGTCTCAGATGACACAGTGCTTGTTGCAGACCCTGTAGCAGTACATTTAAGTACCATTATCCCCCACCTTATGCACTGACACTGCTTCACCAACTTGTTTTTGTTTTTATTTCCCCTAACCCATTAGAGAGAAATGCGTAATTGTTTTTGTTTAAATTTACTGGACTTTTAACACAGTTCACAATTTTTTCATTTGTTTCATGGCTATTTGAACTCCTTTTAGAAACTCCTTTGCCCATTTTTCACTTGAATTATTCATCTTTTAACATTTAAATTAAGAAATAATTAACAAACTATTTGGATAAGAACTTTCATCTGTCATATTTATCAAATCTCTTCCCCCCAGTTTACATCCATTTTTCAACATTGTTTAAAATGGTTTTTGCCACTAGGAAATTTTTAACTTTTATTTGGTCAAGTTTTGAAATCTTTTATGGTGTTTGATTTTTGTTTCATGCTTAGACAAGATATTTTCACCATGAGAATATAGACTGACAACCATATTTTCTTTCTAATATGTATTTATGAATCTTGTGTGACTTGGCAAGGTAATTACCAGCTCACTTCGTCACCTGTGATTCAATTTTTTCATATGTAAAAAATGAAGTTAATAGGAATACATACTGATAGGGTTATGAGAAATAAATTGTTGCTCCATGTAAAACACAGAAAAGAGTGCATAGTACTTAACAAATACACAATCGGTGTTCACTGCCATTAGTTCTGCATCAATATCACACAAGTTTGAACACTTCAAGCATACTACTTGGGTTCACAAAAGTAAACATTTTTTGTTTGACCTATATTCAAGCCAGAAACATAAGGAAATAAAAATAACCTCACCTGCAAAAATAATAGCTGTTAATGGATTAGTGACTCTTGTCCAGATATTTATATTCCTGTGGTAATAAATATATATATAGAGAGAGAGAGAATTATTGCTTGCCTTATATAAAATGGAGCTATACTACACACAGATTGCTCTGCTTCGAACTCTGTCACCTAACATCTCTTGGATAGCTGTACCCAAAGCTGTACTTCATTCTCTTTGGTGGCGATATCTTCAACTCAATAATTTACTTAGCTGTTTCCAATTTTTCATATGACAAACATCTTTGTTTATTAACCACAAGGGCTGCCTGGGAATCACACTAAATTTCTGACTCTCAACATGTTTCTCTTTCTTTGAACTTCTAACATCTCTCATCCTCATTCTCACTTGTTCCTATTTCTCTGAGAAAACTGAAGGAATCAGCAGAACTCCCAGCACTTCCCACAAGCACACCGAGCGCCGAGGCGGCCCTGCTCCGTGCCTGCCTCCTCCTGCTAGTGGACTCTCCGGTCCGGCTTGCATGCTGACTGCATCCCTCTCTCTTACTCCATGTCACCACTTGGCACTTTTCTCTTCATTCTCACCCACTTTTCCCTCTTCACTGGATCTTTCCTAGCAGTAAATAAATATGCTTTTGTTTTCCCCATCTTAGGCATTTTTTAAAAGTCTTTTAACCTACTTTCCTCAATACCTACTGATCCATTTCCTGTTCCCTTTTGCAGAAAACTTCTTGAAATAATTGATTATATTTGCTGGGTCCAGTTCTTATTCTTTCATTCTACAACACGGTTCTTGTCTGGGTGACCAATGGGTTCACGGGGCCAAATCCAGAACCCAGTTGTCATCCTTTGTCTCACTTTATCCCTCAGCAGCATTTGACACAGTTCTACCTTACCTGGCTCCCTACTTCCTGTCTTACCTGGCTGCCAGGACAGCTCCCTGTCTTGATTTACCACCTTCCCCATTGGTCACTCATTCTCAGCCTCCCTGTCTGGTTCCTCTTCTCACAGGTCTCTTGCAGTTGGGGTGTCCCAGACCTCAGGCCTCAGGTTATATTCCCTTCTCTAATTATGTTCCCTTTCTTAGTGAGTCTCTTCTCATCTATGGCTTCAAATACCACATACATGCTGGTGACTTTCAAATGTATATGTCTAACTCGACTTTCTCTGAATTCCAGAACCATTTTATTTAGTTGTCTACTCATTTCTTCTTGGATGTCTACATATTCTATACTGAATTCTAAGTATTTATATTCTCTAAAGTGGAATCCTGATCCAGGCACCCTACCCCTCTTCACTACACCTGCAGGCTTTTCCATATGAGCTAATGCCAACTCTGCCCTTGAGTTGTTCAGGACAGGAATTACCTTTGACTTCTTTCTTTCTCTCATACCCCATATTCAATTCATCAGGAAATTCTACTGGCTTTACCTTCAAAATATTTGCAGAATCTGGACTCTACCACTACCACCCTAATCTGAGATGCTATTATTTCTCATCTGAATTGTACCATAAATGTAAACGGATCTCTAATTCCAACCTTGTCCTGTTTCCAGTCAGTCTGATTTCCACACACAAGCCAAATTCTTTTACAAGCTCAGTTGACTCATTCACTCATCTGCTTAAAACCCCCCACTGGCTCCCTATTTCACTAAGAGGAAGCATCAGTGTCTACAAAATCCCACCTAGTTACCCCACTCACTGACTGCCCCTTGCTCGCCCACTCACTCTGCTCCAGCCACCCTGTCTTTGCTGCCTCTCTACTTCCTCACGTACTTGCTGTTCCCTCTGCCAGGAAGACTCACTAGACGTCCCCACGTCCAACTTTCCCACCTCCTTCAGTCCTAACCCATTCCTCACCTGCTCCTTAAACTTTATCCTTAACTCTCTATTTTAATCTCACCTACTGCCTCTCTCCCACACTTCAATCTCCTGTTCTATTTTGTTCATAAAAAGAAAAAACAAACTGTTCTATTTTATTCATGGCAGGTATCTTCTAAAATACTGATAATTTCATTTATCTGTTCAGTGAACAATTGTGCCAGCTTTGTTTTAAGCATTTGGGATGTAGAAGTGAATCAGATAAAAATCCCTGACCTCAAACAACTAACATTCTAGTGGGGTAAGTCAGGATACAATAAATACAATAAATAAGTAACATTACTTGTTGAATAAATAAGTGAAAATAGTTTTGGGCCCTGAACCAAGTACTTCTACAGAACAAATTTCTGGGAAAAAAAATTGCTGGGTCAAAGAATATACACATTTTAAGTTTTTGTACAAAATGGCCAGATTTTGAATCAATAACCAACAGGAAAAAATAGGTCTAGCATAATTATGTACTGTAAAAATTAACAAAGGGACACCTTGCTGACATGGTTTCAGATGGCCTGCAGGGGACCTCTCATGCCCACCCCTCCCTATAAATCTCAGACCCTACTAGAAGAGGTATACCAAATTGTTCAGCTACTTTACTCCCAGGCAGAAACAGGAAGGTCTCTGCCTTCTACCCAGAAACATCCCAACTAATGAGACACTGTCTCAACTCAGCCAATGAGAAGCCGTGACATGTGGGATTCCCAGTTTCCTCCAATGGACTTTTTACTACAAAGGGCCCACCCCCCAACTACCCGCCTCTTCCTCTATTAAAGAGGGGGCCTCTCCTTCTTTCTCTGGACATGTTTATGCTGTAGCTTGCATGTCCCCAGTTGCAATTCTCTGCTATTCCTAAGTAAACATATGTAATCAGTAAAATTTTTTACTGGTAAAAAACTTTTATTTTTAAGGTTAACAGTACACACACACACATGCATATAATCATACACAAACATTTGTTATTTGAATACCAACAGTCTCTTCTGGGTCTGACTTGTAACTTAACCTGAGAATATATTTTTCTTTTATGTTGTATGACATGATTGTGAGAGTAAAATGGTGGCATTTTTTTCATTGATTTTTTAATGGGGAAAAAAACACATGGAATATTTTTGTGAAAAGAAATGGGAAATGTAATTGATGTAAGTTACCGAACTTACATCTAGAAAGTCTAGAATCGCTGACTTAGAATACTTGGTATTATCAATGTTTCTCTTTCATAATAAAGATGGATTTTTAAAAGTTAAGACTTAAATCTTACCAAGGAAATTGCTACCTTTGAACTATAAATTTATATACTCAGAAGATTTTCATAATCAGAATAGCATACCTCAAAGTATTGCATTTGAAAAAACTTATTTAGGAACAAAAATACATATAAGCATATATCAATAGTGGATAATATATCCTTATATATCTATATTGTATACATATATATATATGAATTTTCATATTACATATGAATAACTTTGTAAATTAAAATTAGGTGAAAAATAGGGGGCGTGGAGCCAAGAAGGCGGTGTGAGTAGAGCAGGGGAAATCTCCTTCCAAAACCACATATATTTTTGAAAGTACAACAAAGACAACTCTTTCTAAAAGAGAGACCAGAAGACACAGGATAACAGCCAGACCCCACATCCACACGTGCAAGAACCCAGCGCCTCGTGGAGGGGGTAAAATACAAGCCTTGGCCCAGCAGGACCCGAGCGCCCCACACCCCAGCTCTGGGCAGGAGGAGAGGAATCAGAGCGGGGAGGGAGAGGGAGCCCAGGACTGCTAAATCGTCAGCCCTAGCCATCTGCACCAGAGTGCAGATACAGTGCATGCGTGGGGTGCTGGAAACTAGGGAAACAGGACAGTAAGACCTGTGAGCAGGTCCCTGCAGCCAGTGCACCCGGGACAAAGAAAAGTGAGTGCTTTTTGTCCCCTCTTCACTACACCTGCAGGCTTTTCCATATGAGCTAATGCCAACTCTGCCCTTGAGTTGTTCAGGACAGGAATTACCTTTGACTTCTTTCTTTCTCT